AAACCCATTTAAAAAATAGACATCATTCCATTCTGAGCAAGGGTCCCAGTTTGATCTTTCTCCGTGTCTGAGCCCACTTGTTGTCCTGAAGGATAGGTGACAGCCCAGATACTCCCAGTGGGTCAGAAAAGCTCATATTCTATGCCAGTTTCCTGTCACTGCTTTGAGCTCTAAGAGTTCAGAGAGGTGAGGGCAGTGTGACCTCCACCTAGCTGAGTGTTGGCATGAGTCCCTGGTGACAGTGTGTCTGAGCTGCCAGTACACCGACAGTCTTTGGAGCAGCTCTTCCTCACTCTTTCAACAACCAGCCAATTTGGTCTCAGGAAATCACTCTGCAGTGCTGGCTGGGATTGGAAGTCATTTTTAATTCTGTGACAAAGACAAATGTGTCCTATGGGAGTAGTAAGTGGTTTTACTGGTGATATTAATGGAACCGTGACCTCTTCTATATCTATGGTCTTACAAAACAAAATATGTTTGTATTATTATATGTCAGGCAAATTCATTCTTAGCCCTTCCTTGAAGTAAATTGCAGAGGAAATATACTATTAATAAGCCCAGAGAGTATTGTTCGTGTGTGTGTGTGTGTGTGTGCGTGTGTGTGTGTGTTTGTATCTACAGTCATATGCTCATTTGCAAACACGGTAGATTTATAATGCCACTATTGACTGTCACACAAATGATGTGTTTTGCATTGTGTTTGGAGGGACACAAATCACTGAAGTTCTGATATCTTTGGATAGAATTTCAGTGGACCCAGTGCTGAAATTGATATTGGCTTTTAAAGGCCAATAGCTGTAGTAAAATTTAAGTGTTTGGGGGATCCACAGTACCAAAGGGAAAGAAGAAATTCAAAGATATATTGAATTAACCTTTTCTATTTTCAGTTGGGATTGGTATGTATTAGTCTAGAAATGACTACACTGATTTTATTATCTCCTGTAGGAACTTTTTGTGCCAGTGCCCTTTGTTGAAAACGGTCACTTAAGGAGACAGTAAATTAAATATGAAGGATTTACAGTTTAGTTAAATGAATTAAACCATTTCTTAGTGTTTGTGTTTACCTTGGGAGACACAAAAGAGAAAAAAATATAGACTCACAAGAGGAAGGAAAGGAATGATCAAATCCCAATAGTCCATGGCTGAATATCTAGCTCCACAACTTTATTTAAAGGAGGAATTTAATGCTGATAAGAAATCCTTGTCTCTATCTGATTAACTTTCTCTCTGCATATGTTACTATACCCACTGAGATTTCCTAATAAACACATAAGTTTATTAACTGTGACAGTTAATGTCTCATTCTATTATAGAGGACGAAACTCAGGTAAATCAAATGCAAAATTTATAGTTTTCCTTAAGCAAAAATGGATGGAGCTTTATCATTTGAGTTTTAACTTTAATAATTAAAAATATTACTATAAAATAACACATGATCAGTCTAGGAAGACTGACAAATACAGAAGAAGGTAAATAAGAAAACAACAATAATCCATAAAGCCAACACCTCAAGGTAGTCATTGTTAATTTTTTTCAGGTAGAGAAGGGATCTTGCTATGCTGCCTAGGCTGGTCTCAAACTCTTGGCCTCAAGTGATCCTCCTGCCTCAGCCTCCCAAAGTACTGAGACTGCAGGTGTGAGCCACTGCACCTGGCTGTTAAAATTTTAGTATATTTATTTCCAATCCTTTTTTCTATGCCACTATGTCAATATATATTTATATTTTTGATAGTTAAGATGAGTATAATTTGTGATTTTCATATCTACCTACTGGTACCAGCAGCGAATCTGTATGGGTTTACAGCAACTTGATCCTTGCCTCCTTGGAGGAAAGAATTCAGCCAAGGGCATTAGTAGGTGTAAGGCAGATGGAGAGACCGAGGCAAATTTTAGAGCAGGAGTGACAGTTTATTAAACAGTTTTAGAGCAGGAATGAGAGGAAGCAAACTACACTTGGCAGAGGGCCAAGCAGGCAACTTGAGAGATTAAAGGGTTTGCGTTTACTCTCCCCTGATTTTTCCTTTGGGATGGGCTGTCCATGTGCACAGTGGCCTGCCAGCACTTGGGAGGAGCTGCGTGCGCAGTGTGTTTACTGACGTTGTGTTTGTGCTCACTTGAGGTGTTTTTCCCTTACCAGTTGAGCATTCGCAGAGGAAAGTCATATACCGGTCGAACTCTGCCATTTGGCCTCTGAGTGTGCATGCTTGAGCCTGCTCGCCCAGCTTCCGAGATCTTATCAGGAAGCTGCTGATCACCAGCTGTAGGTGTTTTCTATCTGTTGGGAGACTGTCTATCTCTGGTGCCAGTTGTGACTAATTATTATTTTAGAAAGACAGTTTAATAACCACCTGTCCGTCACCTGATGGTCACCTGACATTCTTGGGAGGAGGGGCACTCTCCTGCCCCACTCATGTCTGCCTGAATGCCAACTCTAACACTACCCCTCTTTGTTCATAAGTTCAAATGAGTCAAAATAATAATAAGAAAATTAACAGCTAACTATTTGCCAGGGAATCATTCTAAGTGCTCTACATATCTTAATTCATGTAATCCTCACTGTAGCCCTTTCACATAGATTTTACAGATGAGGCACAGAGGGCATAATGATTTCCCCAAGGTTTCACAGTTACACAGGACCACAGCCAGGATTAAACCCAGGCATTGAGGTGTATTCTGAACCACCATGATCTGATGCCTCCCTCCAAATCAAAGCCTGCCCCAAAGTCTGCTGTCATACCCCATGCCTTGGTGATCAGTCCTTTTTCAGAATTTCTCCAACACTATACAGTACCATGAGGCACTTACTTTCCCACTGAATGTGTGCAAATCAGCCTTCATCTCTAAAAAATAATTGTCACCTGCTGGCAGCCCTTTCTATGGGGGCCTTCAAGAGAAGGTAGCCAGAGGTTCAGCCTTCAGGGTGCTGCAGGGGAAGGGGCTGTAGATTGGAGGCAGAAGTAACTGGCCTGCAGTCCTGGCTATGCCCATCTAGACAACTCATTTCACCTGTTTGTGCCTCTTTTCTCATCTGTAAAATGACAGGGTTGGATACCCGTTCACTCATTCATTCAGCACACATGAGACAGACATGAATACAATCCATTTCCTCTCCTCTAGGAACTTAGCATCCAAGGAGTACCCAGAGGAAAACACTGCCGGTTCTGTGGACTGTGTTGTAACAGAATCAATGGGAACACTGGGAAAGTCCCTAAGGTGGGCTAGGGTGGAGACAGGTGCAGGAAGGAAGGGGGCTAGCAAGGCTTCCCAGAGGATGAGTGAGAATAATTAACATATAGGTGCCAAGGACCACACAAGATGGGCTGTGGTGAGAGGGTCTCTCTAGAGCTCACATCTGTGCCTCCATTCCACACTGCTGTGCACAAAACCATCCCATCTTCAGCAGGCTACTGCAATGGCCCACTGTTTTTTCTTTTTTGGCTTAAAACTACAGAAATGTGTTATCTCACAGTTCTGGAAACTCTAAGTCTGAAATCAAATCATCTGGGCCATGCCCCTTCTGAAACCTGCAGGAGAACCCTTCCTCGCCTCTTCCTACATGCTGGTGATTGCCCGCAATCCTTGGCATTCTTTGGCTTGCTGCTGCATCACACCCATCTCTGCCTCTGTCTGCACATAGAGCAAGTCTGCACACCCTGTCTGCCTTCACGTCGCTGCCTTCTTACAAGGATGCTAATCATATTGGATTAGGGGCCCTCCCTTACTTAGCTTAAGTAATTACATTTGCAACAACCCTGTTTTGAAATGAGGTTACATTCAGAAGTACAGGGGGATTGGAACCTCAGCATATCGTTTTGGCGGGGACAGAGTTCTACCATAATGATCACTGTAGCCACCATCTAGTCTAGGCAACCATTGCCTGCTTACTGCTTTTGTTTCTCTCCTATTCATTCTCCATTCAGCATCCTGAATGAGTTTCATAACCCACAAACCTGAGACAGGACCAGCAAACAGGTGGTGGCCTGGTTGGTTCTTTCAGCAAATGGAGAGACTTCACACAGGACTTCTTTCCATTTAGTATATAAGGCTGGAGCAAATGGGGGACGATCAGAACACAATGACTCCTGAAGAGATCCTTGCCTGAGGATGTCAATAGATTCCCGAGGGCAAGGGCAGGGTAGACTGAGAATGTTTCTAAAAGGATCTCAGGCTCATTCTGGTTCCCCAAGGAGTTACAGGGAAGCTGAACAAGTATTTGAATCCTCCTTGCCTCTGAGACTGGCCAAATGCCACGCTTTTTAAGGAAGTATTGGTGCTTAAAATTTTTTCCAGACTTCTCTGCAGGCACTTGCACATACTTTGCTATTAGCAGGTAAGTAGTGCATACTAAAGAAATAAGCCTAATATACATATGAAATAAATGCATCATTCAACACCGCTTCTCCTGCCTGTCCCCCTCCCCCTAAGCAGCTCAGACCTTCTTGTTCATTATTATTAGCCTCCGAGGAAAAGTCTAGAAAACCTTTAAGTCATGCTTCTGTCATTCAAATGATAATCCTCTCCTAAACTTGCTAGACTTCTGCATCACCTTGAATTCTCCAAAGAAGAGTTGACTTCGCCACTGCATCTGTGCCCTTTGAGCGCTTACAAAGGCTCTGGAGGGCGCTTCCTGAGGCACTTAGCATAACTGTGGTGAGAAGTTTATGCAGAATTTTCTCCTTTCGCTCTTACTGCACTTTGAGGCCTTTTCCCACAGTGGTCCCCCCATATCACAATTGCATATCAGGGTATGGGGCAGTCTGGTCAGAGGCCAACAACAGATGCGAACTTAGGCTTTATTAGGGAAGCTTTCTTTTTCTGGGTAGAAACACAGAGGGCCAAACTCAGAGACAAAGATATGAATGTATGGATTACATTAAGGGAGAATGGTGTGACTGTGGCAGTGGCTGCCTTACCCCACTAGCTACGGTGTCTAGATGCTTGCGTGTCAATTGTTTATATATATATATATATATATTTTTTTTCATTTTCTTCTCATTCAGATACAGGTAGACCTTTCGTAGAGATGTACAGTGAAATCCCCGAAATTATACACATGACTGAAGGAAGGGAGCTCATCATTCCCTGCCGGGTCACATCACCTAACATCACTGTTACTTTAAAAAAGGTAAATTTGAACACTGCTTTTCTCAGAATACTTTTACTGCAAACAAGCATAATGAAGTTTTACTCGTTTTATCTTTCCGGAATAATTTCCTTACAGACATCTGGGCTTCTCAGTGGACTTTCCTGTAACATCCTTTTAGTATAAGGAATCGTGCTAGAAGTTATGCCCATGGATGTGGTTAAATAGAACAAAATGATAGTGTCTTAAGCATGAATCGATGTGAATAATGAAAGAACTGAAATCGTGAAAAATGTTATGTATTGCCACAAACCCAATTGTGTGCAAATGTGAGAAAAATCAATTCTGCTGCTTACACAAATTAATAACTTTGCAGACAGTGGATTATCCAGGTTACTGCAGAGTAGACAATGTCAGCAGGGTGCCCAGTTCTCCAGGCATTGACATTCTGGCTTCATGCATAAGGAGACACCACCTTTGGTTTGAATTGGCCAGTTCCTTGGTGAAAAAAGGCCTGTCTCCTGCTGAGCACCCAAACTTCATCTCTTAGGGGAAAAAAGGGAGGAAAGGCCATACATGAAACTTTTCTTCATATTATATTGTAAATTGTACATATGGAAAGGAAAAACATTTAGGGTAGAATCTAAGAAAAACAAAAACTAAACATATGACATTCTAGCTAATTAATCAGCAGTAAGAGTTAGGAGTATACCAGGACTCAGAACTGGATAAAAACTCCCCAGATGGAAAACTGTGCCAAGTTCTGAGAGCTTAGAACTTTAAGACAAACAGTCAAGGCTGCCCCAGAGCAGCAGCTCGCACAGTGCATCACAGAGCAGGCACTCAGGAAGTGTTTGGTGCTGGTAGTGGTGGCAGTTAGGCTGGAAAGGTTTAGAGAATGATTTTCAGTCTCATCCATCAACCCTGAGTCCTGAAATGTGGTGGAGGAGTCTCCTCGTCCTCTTCCTTGCATTCACTGTCGTGGGTTGTTACTCACGTAGGCCCTCAACATAGTCCATCGGAGACAGGTTTTGGCCTCCATTACATTTGTGTGCCATCGCCAGGAAATAGTCATTACGGCAGAGCTGGAAACGCCAGAGGAGTCAAACTCCTCAGTTGGTCAAGATAAAAACACTCTGGTTTCCAGAGTGTCAGGAACTTCCCAGGTCATACTGAGCATTTGAGCCAATATCTTGCCTTCTCATTCAGTGTTCCTGCCATCCTTCTTGAATGGTCTAGTTTGTATAGGAGGAAGACAAGGGTGGTTAAGAGCAGAGGCTAGTGCCACATTGCCTGCACTCTGAACACACTGCCACTCATCACTGGGCAAACTAATGAGTCATCAAACCTCTCTCCACCTCGCTTTCCCCACCTGAGGAAGAGGGTGATGACAGTGGTACCACCTCACATTGCTGTTAGAAAGGTTAAGTCAGGTGATATATGGAAAGCACTTAGATCAGTATCTCAGTACAAGATAAGCCCTATTCAGGGGTTAGCTTTAGCATTACTTAACAGTTTAATACCCAATACTGTACTTGATATATTACCAAGTCATGTTTTCAACAGCATGGCATTACTCCCCTTAGTCTGAGATAATTATTGCTGTATGATTAATACGGAAAACACCGTGTGAAGAGGGAAACGTTCTCTTTCATGCGCGCGCCAATGCAGGTGGGTTTTTTGGTCATCAGGAACATTCCAAAATTCCCATATAAAAATCTGGGGCTGGTGGGAGTCTCTTTACTGTTTTCTGCCTAAGATCTGCAGTGCACAATTTAAAAAGAGAGAAAGAGAAGTGTAAAATTTTAACAGGGATTTTGGTTTGGCACATGTGTACTGGAAATATTCTAACCTATGACGTATTTCTGCTGACATGAAGTTAATATCTTTCCCTTTCATTTCTCTTATTGTCCCTTTTCTTCTAATTTTCTGTCCCCTCCCTCTCCTTTTCACATGCCTGCTTTGGCGGAGCCGTGGTCAACTGCAGACAGGCCTTGCTGCCCAGGGCTTCCTTTCGAGGCTGAGATCCACCTGCCCATCTGCCTTCATTCTTACACATGCGGTGGTGGCCACAGCTGATGGGCTACAGTCTTTGACTGCTTTAGATCTTCTCAGCTAAATGTAAAGTTACTTTGTCAATGGAATGCTACTAACAGCCGTAATGGATAGATGAGAGTAAGATAAACACTTTAAAGGAAATTTTAGTGTATTTTTAAGTTGTACTGAGGAAGCCTGTCAGCAAACCTTTCTTTTAGATTCAGCACATACTTGTTTTCACTTATTTGTAAAGTAACATAGATGTCAGTCCCTGACTTAAATTTTTCTGGGTTTTCCTTTGTCTGCACTAAATTAGAAGAGAAGGTTTTTTTTGTTTTTGTTTTTGTTTTCCCACCGAATACATTCCTAAGTTTACAGGTAGCACCTTGATATAGTGAAACATGAAACGAATCCTTTAATTGCTTTCAGTTCTTCATAAACAGGATGTAATTAATTTCAAACCAAGGAACACCGGTAATACATTCCAATGTAGGCACAGTCCCTAGAAGAGAGGTACTAGTGGCTTCTGGACTAGAAATTTCTGCCATAGGATCACAAATCCAGATCAGCTCCTTCGGCGAGCAATAGAAATAAATGACAACTGGATAGAGAGAGGGACGTCGGGTGTACTTTTTAAAAGGTGATAGGAAAGGTTTCAAGCTTCTTTATGGCTGTTTGGTATTTCCTTTATAATCTGCTAGGGGAAGGTAATTTGATTTTTGTTTTTCCTTTTTCAACTGGGAATAAGGAATAGTGGTAGTTGGGAGTCGACCACCACTGAAATTGGACTGGCAACCTGGCATCAGGGGAATTTGGCTGGGCCACTTGATGGAGCAATGACCCTTTACAAATAAAGTTCAATCCCACGGCAGAGTGTTTATCTTGTAGTCTTTAAACGTTACGTTCTTGATGTCAGAAGAAGGCATAAGGAGAAAGTCAAATCATGGATTATTTTCTTCTGTCTGGACTCACCGTGCTTGGGAATACTTCTAAGCATTTGAGAGCACTTCATTCATGGCAGTCTCTGGCCTCCAAGGCTGCCTTCACCATCAGCAGCTCCAGCTTCTGGGAGTTTCCCTTCCAGAGGCAGAGCTGACGCCTTCCTTGTGACACAGCAGGATCCTCAGAATGACAATCCCAGTGAGTGCCAAGTTAATGTTATGAATCTTGGAGGACCTGGAATTATTTACAGTCTTTTGAAGACAGCCACTTCTTCAGTAAACCATGCAAAATGGGAGGAAAAGCTATGACTTGTTAAAAGCTCTGGACGATGAAAACAAATGAGAATAATCTGGCAGCCCCAGTAGAAAAAAATGCAATTGGCTTTGCTCTCTTTTTTGAGATGGAGTCTCGTTCTATCGCCCAGGCTGGAGTGCAGTGGTGTGATCTCAGCTCACTGCAACCTCCGCCTCCCGGGTTCGAGCGATTCTCCTGCCTCAGCCTCCCGAGTGGCTGGGATTACAGGCACCTGCCACCATGCCCAGCTAATTTTTGTATTTCTAGTAGAGACAGGGTTTCACCACATTGGCCAGGCTGGTCTCTGCTGACCTCAGGTGATCCACCCACCTCGGCCTCCCAAAGTACTGGAATTACAGGTGTGAGCCACCACGCCCGGCCTGTTAATTGGTTTGTCTGCTGAGTGTCCGACCAGTTTATTATGAAGATTCCTGGAGGCCAAAGAGTTATGGGCTCCCCTTGAAAGTCTGATATGACAACTAGGTCTATCCTGGGTAGGTGCCATTTGTTGCCAAGGCTGATAGTAAATTATCATAATTACTATAATTAATCATAATGCAAGTGTCTTTTGCTATATACAAAAAAACTCAAGAACCAATGATAACAAACTAGAGTTTTTAACCTAGTTTGTTATAAGCAAACTACAGAGTTTTACTATTTTCATTTTAGATGAAAAATCATGTTTTCACCAACTGCTGGTGAAACAGTATTGCCAACCAGTGCTAATAGGACCTTGTTAATGCATGCCTCTTCCTTTTCAGTTTCCACTTGACACTTTGATCCCTGATGGAAAACGTGTAATCTGGGACAGTAGAAAGGGCTTCATCATATCAAATGCAACGTACAAAGAAATAGGGCTTCTGACCTGTGAAGCAACAGTCAATGGACATTTGTATAAGACAAACTATCTCACACATCGACAAAGTAAGTGATGCTTCAGAGGCATGAACATAAGCCGAAGTGCTCTTTATTTTTATCTGCGTAATGAAATCTTAATTTAAAAAAATTTCTCTTTTATGCTTGCAGCCAATACAATCATAGATGTCCAAATAAGCACACCACGCCCAGTCAAATTACTTAGAGGCCATACTCTTATCCTCAATTGTACTGCTACCACTCCCTTGAACACAAGAGTTCAAATGACCTGGAGTTACCCTGATGAAGTGAGTGACCCATTTTTCTATTTCTTCTGCAGGACAGTATTTTTAGCAAGTGAAATCCCGCAGGGTTTTTGAGATGGGAAAAATCAGAAAATCCTGATTCCTGTGGCAGTGTTAGTCAATAAAGCAGCTTTGGGTTTGGTTCGAGTGCTTTCTTTGCCTGGCATTTCATGAGTGTGATATGCAGAGATATCGTCTTTTGATGTCTGGGAGTTTTGTTTTGAAGAGCATAGACTGGTATTTCTATCGCATGATTCTAGGTGGAAAGAAAGGGATTGTTTCATTCCACCTATTCTGTAGGATTTAGAGATGAGAGAGAAATGTATCACTAAATGCCAGGCAGGGACTGCCTTTTGTAACAACAACAACAACTTTCCAGGAGGCTGTCTCTGTCAGCGCGTTCATTTAGGATACTGGCAGACAGTCAGGCACCTGATTGGAACATGTTTGGAAAAGATATTACAACCCAGTCATCCAATATTCCATTTGTTAAGTGTCAGGGGAGCAATTCTGTCCTTCAGAAAAATGAGAAGAATGAAGCTTGAGTTGGGTTCCCTTATTCAAATCGAACATCCTTGCAAACAATAATTGTTTTAGAAATGTATACATGGGGAAACTATGATAAACTGTTACGGAAATTTTGACAGTAGTTCTGGCCCCCATTTCTTGTGTATCAGCATGATTTATGCGGCATATCTCAAGTACAATCATTTGTTATGTCGTTCAGATTGCCCAATTACAAAGTCAATTTATGATTAAATTATGTATGAAAGATTAATGCATGAGCCCCAAGCTAGTCTTGTTTTTCATCGACATTTCTTGCCATGGAAATGGAATAACTTAGCAACAAAAACGTGTAACGAGTGCCCTGTAGGGGCACATTAAGGCCTTATCTGTCACCAGCTGTTTTCTAGGAGTGGTATTGTTTCATTTAAATAAAAATGCTATGGCTTGTAGCAATATTTTCTGGGTTTTAATAGAAATCAAATATTCTCAATAAGTGCCAAGAGGGAAGAAACTTCTATCCTGCTAGCATTGCTACTGTAAGTAAGAGTATCTATAATACATCTATTAAATGCTAATAATCTTCTAAAACAGCACTGTCCAACAGAACTTTCTGTGATGGAAATATCCTGTACTTGTGCCACTAGCCACATATGGCAGATGAAATGTGACTAGTGTGACTGAGGAAATGAATTTTTGATTTCATTTAATTTTAATAGCCACACGTGGCTGGTGGCTGCAGTACTGGGCGAAGCAACTCTAAAACACAGGATGAGTTATTTCCCAAGTCAGAAGCAATACCAGTGTTACTCAACTTGGCAAAGGGAGTAGTACCTGTATAAATAGAGCTGCAGAAACCTCCCTCAGTCTGTTATGTTAAGGGACTAGTTCTCTGACTTTTGATAGTGGCAATTGACTTTTCTCTCTGGTTATTGCTGAGAATGAAGAAAATGGCCTCAAAATGTGTCTGTCTGTTCCAACAGGGAAGTAAATGGACAGGTGGGTAGAAGTGTATTAAACGTGGCACAGAGGAGAACTAAGCTCCCGATCCAAAGATCAGTTCTGGACAGCTCCCAAAGACATTTTTCCATGCTCCTCCCCTCTGCCCCTATGACTATGGGGAAGGACTGAGAGGTGGAAATAACTTATTAGTTATAAAATATAGCACTTAAAAAAAAAAAAGGAGAAGGCAATGTGATCTTGTCTTCTCAAAACAGTGAGCAGGACTGTCATTGTGGCCAGGTCAGATTGTGGAGCCTAAGACTGATTCTTGTTCTTCTCTGAGACAAACCTGGGACAGCACCTTTCAAGTCTTGGTTAAACCTGCTTATGGCTTTGCATGTCCCCAGATCCGTTTACTATGATTTAGCCAACATGGGCAAGCATTGCTCAAATAGTGAAATAATGAAATTATAGGATTATTCCACCTTAGTAAGTAGAGACAAGACTCATTATCTTTTCCTTCATATCTAATAGAGACAAAAAAGGAAACTCAGACAGTGATTTGGTGAGAGAAGCACTGTCATTAAGCCAGACACTAAGGCTTATGATTGTCATGTTTGTGTGTGATATGTATGCCTACAGAACAGGTTACTGTGTAGAGAGGTGTGTGTGCCAGAGGAAGGACACTAGATTTATGCTCAAAAGACCTGAGTTCCTGGCCAACTTGGGCCAGGGGGTCCCTTCCTTCAGTTTTTTCATCAGTAAAAGGGCAGTCAGCCTGCCAATCTCACTAGGTTGTTGAGACAAACAATTGAGATGGTATATGTGAAAATGCATTTGAAGAAAATTAAGTGCTAAATAAATCCTACTATGCTACATATTTGAAGCATCTCTAGACACAGATATAGTTTCCAAACATTGTGCTCTAGGTGGATGTGACATGATTCTTAGCATAAAACAGAAGCTATTGTCGAAGTTATGATCTAAGAAATGTTAAAATCCTATATAACTTTAAGCATGAACACTCACTCCTTCTACATTTGTTATACGTTTTCTTTCTAGAAAAATAAGAGAGCTTCTGTAAGGCGACGAATTGACCAAAGCAATTCCCATGCCAACATATTCTACAGTGTTCTTACTATTGACAAAGTGCAGAACAAAGACAAAGGACTTTATACTTGTCGTGTAAGGAGTGGACCATCATTCAAATCTGTTAACACCTCAGTGCATATATATGGTAAGCATAGTTCAGCGTTGCCAACTCATGCTATGCTTTCTAATCATTGTGGATGTCTGTGTTCTCTAAATAAGTCAGTTTTCTGTTGGCCAAGAGTTACATTATCATGAATGAATACAACTTGGCCATAGTTCCCTCCTCCCCCTGTCAAAAAGCAAACCACATTAAGTACTCTTTAAATTTAATACTTTTGAATTGAACAGAGAGTCCTTTCTTTAGATGTTTATTATAGCTAATAATTCAGTTAGAACCTAATATATTTATGAAATTTTTAGTGTCCTATATAAACAAAACAGAAAAAGATGATGAATTTTATCTTTACTACTTCAGAAAAATTTCTCAGGTACTACCATGAATTAGAGAAATAAAAATATGGTATGCTAAATCATTTAGAATTAAAGCTATTTTATCCCTGCTTTTACTCTCATGGAATCCTAATGTTGTTGCTTAATTTCAGTATGCAAATTCTATAAAGAAAATGCTTAAAAGCCTTATTTCCATTGCTGAAAAGGAAACAGTGTGGAGGGCAGAAACTGTGGAACAATTCTATCAGTAGCCTTTTATTTCCTTTTGTCTTTCTCCAGTTGATTTTTGATATCAAATTAGTTGTTTTAGGGTGCCCAGAGCAACGTTTTCTCACAGCGGCCATGTAGATTTTTAGAAATATCTTCCCACTTCCTTGTTATTGTGATAGAGATATTTAAGGTGTTTTACTTTCTGTTGCTCTGCCACTGTTTTATGTTGCTAGGACGTGATACCATTTGATTTGAAAGGCGTGCACCAGTTATGGTGCTTTTAAAGTATCCTATTCATTGATCAATATTTAGGCTCATTGATAGGCTCTATCATAATTCAGCTCTGTTTATTTACTCATTGATTACACCCTCCCTTCATGAGGCCCTAAGGTTTTGCTTATGGAAATATATTCTTTTCTAATGTATTTATCACTTCTTCTTTCAAAGATAAAGCCTTCATCACTGTGAAACATCGAAAACAGCAGGTGCTCGAAACTGTAGCTGGCAAGCGGTCTTACCGGCTGTCTATGAAAGTGAAGGCGTTTCCCTCGCCGGAAGTTGTATGGTAGGACCATACTTATTTCCATAACAGTGTAAGACGTGCTTTGTAAGTGGGAAGCTGCAAGAGCCTAATGACTCCAATTCCTGACAAAATACCAAGAGACGTTCCTCAGACAGCCCCAGAGAGCTCAGAACTCTGTAGATTCTTGGGTGGTGGAGGTGAGAAGGGCTGGGGGAAAGGAAATAATGTAGCAAGGTAAGCAAGAGATGAGGTTTGTTCGAGTGCTCACTTCAGTCTAGTCAGTCTCTTACTGTGGTTAACTTTCTGCATCTCTAAACCTTCCTATGATGTCAGCATTCTTTGAATGGGATGTGTTGAACAATGACTAGGAAGCATTTTGAATATGTAACATGCTCTATTAACCCTGAAGAAGTGGACTCTTGTAATGAGAATGATGAAAATAATTCTTTTATGTACAGCTGGGTTGAAAGTTTCAGTCTTGTTTTAAAATTAAACAAACATTAATAGAGACAAGACTTACTCATTTGAAGATGAGGACGAATGGGCCTACTTGAACTAATTAAGGTTTTTTTGGCTAGAAGGATATATATTCAAAACCTCCTTCAGCAGTTTTTTAAAACACTAGTACAACACCTGATGTAAAACAATGTAATCTGTTTATGATCTGCGATCATTTTACAAAATTACTGTTAAATGCCAATACCTTTGGCTCAAATCATTACCTTTTAAACAAAGGGTATGGTGCAAAACTGATTAGCAAAACAATCCATACAATAGGGGTGTGGTGCCATTTTAGAATCCCCCTAACCAGAGCTGATTTGGCTTTCAATGTCGTATGAGGGTAGTGTGTTTGTTTGCAGTTCCCTTAAATACTTAATAGGGAATTAAAGAGAAAATTTTAACTTTGTGCTATGTCGTCATGCCATTGCAATAGAAAAATGATCTTTTTTGCTTCAGAATATCAAAAACATTTAGTAGTAAATTTTTAGGTTTAATAGTAAATTGAATAGTAATTTAATGACTCCAGGAGGTACATTCACTCCGCCGGGGTCTGAGAGCACGCTCATCTGTTAGTGTTGATTTCTTCAGTAACTAAGTCACAAGGGCATTAAAAAAATTCAGTCTACCGTCAAAAATGCTGACTTGTTGATAGGAAATAATTTAAAGTAATACCAAGACAATATTTGTAATCACAAAGTGTAGCATCCTCATTTTAATTACTTTGGATCTGAGACACGCTAGTAATGGGAATTTGTTTGTAGGACTTTATAATCATGCATGATAATGAACTAAGTTCCCAATATTAAACCTTTATACAGAACATAAGAAACTCCTAATGGATTAAAACTGCCTATTTAAAGAACTGTGCATTTTAATGAAATCATAGAATCTTAGAGTTATAAGGAACCTTTGAGAAACTCTAGAAAATTTGAGAAAATTGGAGCCCAAGCTGGTTAGTCATGTGTGCAGCAGCCTGCAGTGAGTAGCAGAGCCAGGTCAAGCATCCAGGCTCTGACTGTCAGTTCCGTGTGCAATAGAATGATATCAGTGCATCGATTCAGTATTTAATATGTTTTTATATTAAAATTTTATATTAAAATTTTTTTAAGTTTATGCTTTCTGTTTGTTTTGCACCTTAACTGTTCTTCCTCAGAGGAGAAATCTTGATAATCTTGATTTCACTCTAGTTTATGAAAGGGACAACTGGTGTGACCATTTATAAAACTAATAAGAACTCCACCTGAGACCACAATAGGAAAGTCTATTTGTATTTTTATCTGGAGAAGTGATCTAGTTGATCTGACTTACAGTGGCCCTTATACTGCTGATGGAGCCTCGTGGAAAACTCTGAAAAACATCTCGGATGGAATCAGAGCCCCTGCCTCTGGGTTAATCCTTAAGTCCCAGTGGCCACCGGTATCCCTGTGGGCACACTAAGCTACTGTTTTTCTATCTTCACTCACTTTATTTCTTCCTCCTTGCCAGTAAATATGAAGTGTTACCCAGTCTAAAAAGCATATCTGCCTTTACTGAAAAGTTAATGGCTACATTTTAAAAATCAACACTGATGATCAAAGATTTGAAACTGGTCAACTTGAGGCCGGGTGCAGTGGCTCACGCCTGTAATCCCAACACTTTGGGAGGCTGAGGCGGGTGGATCACAAGGTCAAGAGTTCAAGACCAGCCTGGCCAACATGGTGAAACCCCATCTCTACTAAAAATACAAAAATTAGCTGGGCGTGGTGGCAGATGCCTGCAATCCTAGCTACTCAGGAGGCTGAGGCAGAGAATCGCTTGAACCCTGGAGGCAGAGGCTGCAGTGAGCTGCAATTGCGCCACTGCACTCCAGCCTGGGCGACAGAGTGAGACTCTGTCTCAAAAAAAAAAAAAAAAAAAAGAAGAAAGAAAGAAAGAACTGGTCAAATTGAGCTCAAAAACTTAAATGACAGTGTTACCAAAGTGATATTGCGAGGCCATGTGAAATGACTTACTGATTATGCTTTTAACCACAGGTTAAAAGATGGGTTACCTGCGACCGAGAAATCTGCTCGCTATTTGACTCGGGGCTATTCGTTAATTATCAAGGATGTAACTGAAGAGGATGCAGGGAATTATACAATCTTGCTGAGCATAAAACAGTCAAATGTGTTCAAAAACCTCACTGCCACTCTAATTGTCAATGGTAAGTTTGCTGCTCAGGCTTTCTTCTGGTTCTGGTAGGAAACAAATTAGTGAACACTTATGAATTCAAAAATCAGCATAACAACATCAAAGATAACAAAATTTCAAATAATCATTTGAAAAAACACTTAACGTTAAGTTCCCATCTTCAACAATCTCGTGTTTGTTTGTTGTATTCCATAGGCAGCATGATCTTTTATCATTGTAATCACAATGTACATACCATGGAATCAAATTATTAATATTCTCAAAACACTGCTACTATTTTTAAAAATCTGCATTTTCTTGACAAATAGGAGAGTTTACTTGTTTTTTGTTTCTTGTTTGTTTCCCTGACATCCAAACCAGTGAGAATGTGGTCCTTCATGTGTGGCCCAGGAGAAAGTCATTAGAACAGCTCTTGACTTCTGTCCCGTTCTTCATCTCCTTTCCAGTGAAACCCCAGATTTATGAAAAGGCCGTGTCATCATTTCCAGACCCAGCTCTCTACCCACTGGGCAGCAGACAAATCCTGACTTGTACCGCATACGGTATCCCTCGACCTACAATCAACTGGTGCTGGCGCCCCTGTAACCATAATCATTCTGAAGCAAGGTAGGGACAGTCAGTTTTTTGACTAACTTTCAAATACTTTTTGACACCTGGAATTAAGATTTTTTTAATGGACGCAGATGGGGTGTACTGTATATTTAAGGCAAGGCTCTCCCTGCCTTGGAAAAAGGTGGGCAACAGCTACTCTTCCTTCTTACTGAATATACCTTGCCATTGGCTAACAATTTCATAATTTTTCTCTCTGGTTTACAGTTTTAGAAGCACAAGCACAAAACTAAGGTCCTCCCATGAACTGTTATATGAGCTCAGGTTGGAACTCTGGTATCCTGTTTCTCAATTGAAGATCCCTAGACTTTGGCTATACCACTATGTCAGTTGCATTCGCGTTCCCATTGTTCATTTTTTATTCTTTGGATATGATCCAAGTTCTTCCCAACACCGATGATCACTATGTTTCCTACTTTTGGGCTTTGCTCTTCCATCTGTCTGAAATGCACTTCCACCCACTGCCTGCCTCCTAAGAGGGCCTTACTTATCAAACGCCATGGCTCAGCTCTTACATCACCTTCTCTGTGAACCCTCCTGACTGCCTCATTCAGAATCACGTCTTCCTCCTCAGTATGAACAGCACTTTGTTCACACCATTGTTACATCGCTCGATGCCCACAGGTTTGTCTCTCTCTAAGCCAAGAGCTGACTGAGAGTACCCCTGTGTCTTTAGGCTGGGTGAAGGCTGGCACACAGTAGATGCTCAGTGTATATTTGCTAAGCGAATACATCCCCACCCTCTGCTAATTGTGCAACATTTCTTTGCATCCTGTTGATGACTGAGCCTTGTTTGCTTTTTCCTCTTTTTGTTTAGTCTACAGGAATGATACTAAGGATAGTTCATGGGAGCTAATTTGAAGAACAGGAATAGAATTGATAGGTGCAACAATAAGATATTATTGAAACTGCCCAAGAATTATCATTATGCCAAACTATTTTCCTTTTTACTTTTAACTTCATTTGCAGAGTGTTCAGGAGAATTGTTATTTAAAAAAAAAATTGATAGGAAAAGTAAACAAAGCATAATTCTAATGTAAACAGATAGAAGTGGCTATTTGATTTTCTAGATTATTCCCACAATTCCAACTCGTTTTGCTTAGGGTGTATTACTCTCAGAGTGGAAAGTTACTGGTGAGTTATGGAATTCCTGGAAAGTAGCTATTTCCACACATCTGATTTCTCATTTGACTGTCATTTTCTAATAATAGAAATACAAAGGACTTAAAAATCTTAAATATCTTCTTCACCACTGTGAATGTTTAACGCAAGAGACAGTGAGATCTACTGAAATTCTATACTATTTTGCAAATTTGGGGTATGCATCAATATTAATGGACCCATCCTCCTAAGGTCTTGACATATGTGCCAACCTAACATGCAAATAAATCAAAAAATAACTAAATAATTGAAGCTATTTGATTGGGATAAAAGTGTAGAGTTGAATTTTTCTGGAATAACAGAGCCTTTTCTAAATATATTTACATTTTGTTTTGGCAATATTAAATCTAAAATTTCTATTCTAGGATTAGAACTAGTAACTATGTTAGAAAATAACAATTATGAATGATAGAACATAATGTTATAAATTTGGGTTTAAGTGATGCTGATAAAATGTGATTTGGAGAATGAGGCCAGCTCGAATGGAACTTTGTAAACATTAGCTTTCTTTCCAATTTCTTTGTGGTATATGGGATCTTTCTTTTGTGTTATGCAGTAAGTTCGCCAAGGCCTAAAAAGATGTCTTCTTCCTTTCAGAGTGGTCTCAAGACTCAGAGCATTACCTTAAATGTTTGTTGGCCATTTGAATTACTCTCTGTTAAAGGCATTTTTTTTCACTACTTACAAGACTGATCAGAAATGAAAGTTTAAGGTTGCATATGCTTTATTTCTTTAATATGTTGCTGCTTGAAAGTATCTGCCAAAAATGTACACATCTTTGATGTACAAGAATGAGAACTTGATGTACATTAGTCAGCAGGTACTAATTGAGTAGCCTCCCTGTGTCAGACCCAGATTTGGTGCTTGGTGGTTAAATCAGTACAGTTAACTAGAAATGTTTCAAAAACATACGTAGAAACTTTGTACACTAGAAAATAAACAGAACCACTCTTTCACTCTGTCAGAGAGATGAAGCTAAAATTTACAGATAAATGAAGCCCTCTTTAATTACCAAAAGTTCTCAAATATGTCTTTATGTAAATGTATTTGTATATACTTAGATTAACTCAGATTCAGTTGTAGACAGGAATTTTAGTAACACATGAGTAAGAAATGCTCTATTGCACTTAGTTCGAGTGATATGGTAACATATTTGCATACTGGTGTCTATACATGATCATCAAAAGAGATTGAGTGACTAATACATGCACACTACTCTCAAATATGTAGAATAATTCCTGGCATTTAAATTTTAGGCTCTAGTGAAAGGGCGTATCTACATATACCCCCGGCTAAAGCATTTGTTCAGTTTGAGGGCAGAATATAGTTGTTTAAGGAACTCGAAACTATTAATTGGTTTAATATGGCCAGACAGTTAATGTATCTAATATAGAAAGAGGTTCAGACCTAACTCAAATTGTTTAGTTTCCTAGAGTCTAATAAATCTGTAAATATATTAAGCTATTTTATAACTACTGACAGTTCAACTAAAAATGTCACCCTTTAAAAAAAAAAGTGGCAAAATGTTTTATGAAAGCGAGCTAAGTTTTAACTGAGTAATATTGTGGTTTTCGTTTTGCCTAGAATTTGTTCTTATAAAACATGAGGAATAAAAGAGAGGAAGGAAAGGATGATTACTTTTAAACTCAAACAGGAAGTGAACCAAGAAGAAATAAAGCAGAATCTTTCCCCTTTTCAATTTTTTTGCATTAAAAAAAGGAAAATGGGGCCAGGTGCAGTGGCTCATGCCTGTAATCCCAACACCATGGGAGGCCAAGGCGGAAGGATCACCTGAGGTCAGAAGTTTGAGACCAGCCTGGGCAACATAGTGAAACCGTGTCTCTACTTAAAATACAAAAATTAGCCGGGCGTAGGGGCGGGCACCTATAATTCCAGCTACTTGGGAGGCTGAGGCAGGACAATTGCTTGAACCTGGGAGGTGGAGGTTGCAGTGAGCTGAGATTGCACCACTTCTCTGCAGCCTGGGCAACAAGAGCAAAACTCCGTCTCAGAAAAAAAAAAAGTAAAAGAAAGAAAAGAAAAATGATAAGAAAACTACAATATTTCTTTTGAATATTAATAACACCAAAATAAGTCATCAGCACTGAATGAGGTGGAATATTTTATTTTTCTCATCCTCAGCCAACTGATAGACTTCTAAATAGATATTCCTAAACCTGCTCCCATGAGTCTCAGCAAAAAGCCAGAGAGCATCATAAGGATGTTAGGCATATAGTGCCTTCCACATGTCTGTAGTTTACAGCCTCTGCTCATATAAAATAAAGATAATGATACACACTTCATAGAAGGACTATGAGGATCGAATGAGATAATGTATTTAGAAAGTTACAGAGTGCCACAGATTTTCATTGCTACCATTGGGGTACATTCTTTAAATAAGACCCAAGAACCTTTAATGAACTTGAAACGATATTTCTGCCTACTATAGAGCTAGTTTCACAACAGTTAGCAGTTTTACCAAACATTTCTGAGAAATAAATGTAAATTATGGAATGTAACATACAGTTTTGTTGTGCTTTAAAAATAGTAATTTAGTAGGTCTAGGGTGGAGGGTGGCTGTGGAATTGAGGAAAATATGACTTTTCAGAAGAAGAAAAATTAAGGAACTACAGAAGAGTTAGGCAAAAGTAAAAGGAAGAGTAAATGGAAGGGTGTCATGAGGGAATGAAGTAATTCTCCCAGTTCATGTGGGCTGCCCCATTCATTGTTTTCCCGTCATGAGAGGAAGTGGTTCTGCCCTGTGGGTTGGCTGAGGCTGGGTGGGCTGAGTGGGCATGTAGGGGAGCTGATGCCTGCTGGACCAGTCCACTTTCGATCTCTAGAACTTCACGTTTCCCCTGCATTTTGAACAACGAAGTAGTACTACTAAACCCCCCGTGGACTGAGCTCCGCTTGATCTTACAGTCCTCTGTGAACTCTGCCACAGTACTGATGCAGCCTCACAGGAGTTACTATTTAGATAAGATTGTCCATGGCAAGGAGGTTGGTTGGTTTCTAAAGGAACAATAGTAATACAGGACTGGAGGGAAGGGGACTTTCTCTGGGGAATGGAAAGTGTGGATCTGAGGAACCAAGGAGAGGATGGAGCAAGGACAGTCTTGGCATAATCAGTTTGTACTGCAGATCACTATTTTCTCAGGAAGAATCTAAGATGTTGGAAGGCTACTTTTCTTTATGTGTGCTTGAATACCAAGGAGACCCTCGGGTAGCTGACTGCGTGGCCTGAGTGGGTCTTTGTGCTCATCTGTTCCCCACAAACAGGGCATGGTGGGGGGCTTCTGCTGATCTCCTTCCTGGTACTCTCATGAGCTCTGATCACCTCCTCCATGGGTGTCCAGAGTCCACCTGGTTGTTTCTGGATTGTCTTTTCTTCTTTCTAAAACTAAGATCTGTTTCTAAAACGTTGAATGTGTTTGGGTCTTTTCTCTAGGGAGGTTCAGTGCCTGCAGCCTTTGATTACTGCAGTTTTGTTTTGAGAGCACACATTCTTTAGATCTTAGATCTCTCTCCCCATTTATCACAAATCGTAGTTTCAAAGGAAGAAGTAACACGGATTGATTATAATAGACAGAGTTGTACCACATACTGTGTTATTCCCCTCTAATGGAAAAAAAAAAACAACTTAGGTAACATTGGGTTCTTTGTGAACAATCTCATTTTCTTTATAAGCTATCTGTGATAACTACTCAAAATATGTAGAGAAACATTTCTATCTACATTGCATTAATATTGCTGACATCTTACAAAGCAACTTGGCATGTCACTGATATTCAATCTAAATATACTGTCAACCATCTGCTCATCACACAAATATT